TCCGTTCTTGCAGAACACAGATTCGTTCCCTTAGTTCCAACCCAAGTGCGCAAGTGCACGCATCAAGTAATAAAGGGAGTATTAATGCCCAAATTATTGTTCCCACGAGGATAGAGTCCTAATTATTGTCTTACACTGTTTTATAAAGAATGAAAATGAGAAGAAAAGTTAGTAAATGTACTGTCTGGTCAAACGTTCCCTACTGTCTTGACAACGTTTCTCAAGAACAGTAAGTTCAATCTGCTGGCAAACAATTACTCGCTGCGTTATGTATGTGATCCTTCCTGTTTAGAAGAAGGTGAGATAATAATCATTGGAGTTTTATAGATACAAGATTAAATAAAGGAAAGAAAACTTACTAAAACAGTAATAGCTATAGCCAAGAGACAACAGGGAGATGGTTTAAACAGTTTAACAGAAGGAATGGATTCACTGCTACACTCTTAAAGAGGTTGTTTCCTCTGCTCAAGACTTAGCACTTTTTGGCTTTGTCCCAGTTTCTTGTCTGCCAACTCTGATTCCTCAGCTCATGGACTAGATGGCTCACAAGTTTCCATATTTCTATGGCTCCCTTGACTCCAACAGGTACTTAGTACAGAACCTTAACATGGACGAGTTGGCCCCTTATTCCTAAGCTGACCAGTAGCGTTTTTGCCATGACATCTACCTTCCCCCAATGGCTAAGCTGTCTGAAATCCCTTCCTTTTGGAAGTTCCTTTCTCAGTATGTACCCAATTTCCATTGGCGCACAATGAGTATAGCTTACTTAGCCAAAGAAATACAAAAAGCTTCAGTCAAGAGTTTTGAAAACAGTTCTTTAAGAGTTTCACAGTTTTTTCATTCCACAGATAGTTCAGCTCATGGCTGATAGTTTAAACATAATTATTCTCAACTGAAATCACATAGACCCGAGATTCAGTCAAGAGATAACGATTGGAACGAAGAGAAAAATACTTATATTAATTTAAAAGACAGTTACAAAAAGAAACAAAAAAAGGAGAAAGATGGTTTAATGCTCATGAGGAGTCTTAAGGTTTGATACAGAGCAAAGGGGATGGGTTGTCACTTGACTACATTTACAACTTAAATAAAACTAAGTTATTGACTACTACTACTACTACTAGGTGATCTTCTTCCTTCTGGACTTTAATCCCTCCAGAATCTGATGATGTTTTTGTATGAGGGTGGTCCTATTTATAGATGGAAGGAGAGTGGCAAGCTTGTAAATCCTTTGGAGCAAGTTGCTTGAATGAGGGGACGGGACGGTGGCAGCAGAGTATGGAAGCTGCGCAAATTGCTGGATGGAACAAGGTTTGGTGATGATTAGTCGTAGTATGCAGACTTGCCCATGCCTTGCTTTCGTTTTTAGCCAATGAGAACTCTTGATTATCTGCTCTTCACGTTTTCAGCTGCTCAGTTGGTGTACCGCCTTGCTTTTTAGAAGTCTTTAACCCTACGTCACCTACAAAGTTTACAGAGGCATTAAATGAATGGAGAAGGTGCATTAAATGTGTCCCAGTCTGTTCCCCTTTTAATATATTTTAAAGGAATACTTTACCAGACGTTCCCCCACTGTGTTTTTGTCACAAATGTGTAAAACAAGTGATTTTCATGCTGAAGTTGCTCATCAGCTGAGGGAACGTGTGGTATTTTGCCATCAAAATGGGCTTAGATGAGAACGAATTTACGTCCCATCAAACACCCCAAAACTAAACTATTGGTTGTCCTCAAACAACTCAGAAATATTGTATTGGGCTCCCCAATTTCAAAGAATAGCTCAACAGAAAGGAACTTGAGCCAGTGAACAATCATGAACTTTTCAGAAAATGAGCTACTCTTCATAGTTGAATGATAGGAAGAATTTAATCCCAGGTCAGTGAAGGTTGCTGATCTTCTGTCTCACTGTCACTCAGGGGTTGGTGTTTTCTCTGTCCATTCCTGGATGTGATTCTTCAGAACTTGCCTTTCTGCTGCATTCCTATGAAGTACATCCGTCTTCCTTTTTCAAGGACCTTTCATGGATGGGTGTATGGAAGTGTGGAATGATGATGGTCTGACTTGTGGGATCAAGGAACGTTATCTTTTGTGCTTTTGAATTTGGACTTTTTCTGATTAAAAGAACACCTTTTCTTATACCTTTTTCTTCCCCTTTGGAGGAAGGTTTTCTGATAGCTTTTGAATTCTTTTGAATGGATGTTCCTCTTTTGCTTTGCTTGTCTTTCTTCTGTCCTTTTAATTCATTTTTGGATCTGTTCCTTGTTCTTTTTGGTTGACCAGGGGGTGTATGATGAAGGTGAGGTGAGTGTGTGATTCTGTTTGGTCCTTGGCAGTGGAGTTCGTCCGTTCTTCAGCAGTACTTACAACATTAAGGCAAGTTGAGAAGTTTCATTGTGGTTACACCTGGGGAACGCTCTCAGAAGTGGGTGTTTAGCCTTTTTCTGTTCCTTACCAGCTTTAGTTCACCCATATCAGCTTCTTTCAAAAATCTGAGGATTAAATTCTCTGCATTTTTCTAATTTGAATACTCAGAGAAAGATCAAGCATGATTAGTCAATGACTTTGTGTTCCATGTATGTGAGTTAATCAGAAAATATTGGGCAGTCTTAATACTATAACTGAAATGTATGTAGATACCAAACAGTTTGATCAAAAAGTCTTTTTCATTGCAAAAAGATTAATTACAAAGGAAACAGACAGAAAACAAATTAAAAACAGAATTGAAAATAAGATAAGCTAAGATAAATAGGAGGGTTTTTCTCCTTTTCATTGTGGAGGCGTCCTGTCCCTGAGATTGGCAGGGATAGGTTGAGTGGCGGTACTGTAGGTGCTTTTAAGACCGTTCCAGTTCTTAGTGTTTATGACGGATGTTACCCTCGTGCTGTCCCCCAAGCAGACCAATCATTAGATTTTACTTTTGTTTGATCAGTGTTTGCACCCCCAGGAGTGGACTAAGAAGAGTCCACTGGGGCTCTTTCAGATCCACCATCTTGTATTGCAGACTTTATTTCTTCCCCCAAGATCAGGGTGTTCCTCCTCAAGCTATTGTAGATGAGGGTTACTGTATACAGACAGTCCGTGATGGTGGGGAGGTGGAGTACTTTTTGGACATCAGCAGGGGATAATGATACTTGTTTTCCCCTCACTATTACCACGTCAGTGGTGTCATCTTCAGGCAGCCTCCTTGTCTGGTATAAAAACTCTCCCACGATGGAGATATTTACTTCTTGATTATCAGTGGCAAAACGAAGCCACCAGAGCTTGGTCAAGGATTTCTTCACAAATGAAGGCAGGACCAATTTTTCTTGCTGCAGAGAAATGTTCCTTTTTGGGTACAAATGAACGGTGGGTTCGGTGAGCTCTGGTTCTTCACCACGGTTGGCCACTGGAGTCACCTTGAATGATAGCTTAGTCATTTTCGGCAGAAAGGGGGTTAGGGCACAATACAGAGGGATAAAAGATTCTGAGTTGAATGGAAGTAGTAAAACTTGAAGTAAACAGAGACTGAGTTTAAATAGAAAGTGAGGAGAAAATGAGGAGTTTCTAGGACGTGGAGGTTGAGGATAGGGGTTGAAGAGGTAGTGGAATGGGACGTTACAGAACGAGTGGTCAAAAGTTAGTGACCAGTAACTGATGGGATGAGTGTGCGAAGATGGAACAGTTTAGGTCAGGACGTGGGAGAAAGGGAAAAGGGGTGCAATTGTCTTAGTGGTTGAGGGGACGGTTGCTTTTTCTATGCGCGTTTTCAAGATTCGCAATGAATGCAAACTTGATATGGATGCGTACCTTTTTAAGTGACTCAGCAGGGACAGGTGTCCGAGTCACTCTTGTCTCCTAACCCAGGGAACGTTCCCTTTGTCTTTTCCTAACGAATAATTAAATAATAATAAGAGAAGTAAAGGAAACATACCAACGAGTTTACTGGAAATCTAACTAAGAGAAAAAAAAAGAAATGCATAATCTACCATCTGACTATTTATTTAAAATAATAATAATAAAATTTTTTTTTGTGGTCAAGGACCACCCCAAAACTACGTTATTGGAACGGAACGTACTTGGACTTTTTGGAGAGGAACTTCAGACGTTCCCTCCTGTGTGGTTAAGAGTAACCACCCCAAAACTTTGCTCTTTGTCAGAGAGCAAATGTATCTACTGGGTTGCCTCCCAGTCAGCGCTTAGTTTAATGTCTTTAGCTAGACATGGTACTTACCTCTTAGGTCCCTGGAGAATTGGTTGAGGGAACTTCAGTGTCCCCTGGTAGTGATCCTGGTGCTCTTGTTTGAAGATTGGCAGTAATCTGTCCCAGATGGGACTCAATGTTCCTGACCACTACATCATTCCCGGTGACATATTCCTTGACATAATTTTCCAGGGTATTGATGCGTTGGTCATTTCTGTGGAACGGAATGTAGTTGTTTCTCCTTTGCTCAAACGTTCCACTGCTGCTGCTTTGCTGATATTGCTGTTGTTGATTGCATGGTCTTTGGTGCATGGGTGGCTTCCATTGGGGGTTGTGATTCTGATCCTTAATGATAGTTCCTCCAGGGCTTTAATTTGTATTACGTCCTGGTTGTTGATTGTCTTTGGTGAAGTTCCTATTGCCAAAATTCTCTGCATAACACACCAATGCAGTGGATGGGCAGTCTGTTGAGTCATGAAGGTCACCACAGGCTGAGCATGGTTCTGGTTCAGCTGCTGTGAGTTGTAAGACTTCCATCCTTGGTGCTTCTTGGTCGGCTTTTAGGTTCTTCACTTCATTCATGAGTGATGCCAGCTGGGCTTCCATGGCAGTTTGTTTATCTAGTTCTAACATTCCTGGCTTCCTTACTGGTCTCACTCTATCTATTGGCCATTGGAGACATCTTTCAGTAGTCCCTTCTATTATTTCATATCTTGATTCAAGTGTTCCTGTAAAAAAATATCCTCCTGCAGCAAAATCTAAGTGAGACTGAGAAGTATGATCAAGTCCTTTATAGAAAGATTGTAACACTCCCCAACTTTCTACCCCATGGTTTGAACATTTTCTTATGATGTCCTTGTATCTCTCCCATGCTTCATAGAGATTTTCTCCATAAAACATTTTGAAGTTAGAGATTTCTGCTCTAACATCTGCTTGTCGAGACATTGGGAGAAACATCTCTATGAACTTGTTAGAGAGTTCTTCCCATGTGTGGATTGACCCAGGGGTGAGAGTTTTCATCCATGTTTTTGCTTTTAAGCCTAAGGAGTGAGGGAACAACCTCATTCTCATGCTCTCTTCTGTTACACCCTCAGCTTTAAAATTGTCACAAATATCTTGGAATGTGGTGAGGTGTGTGTAAGGATCTTCTGCAGGGAGTCCATTGAAGACCCCTGCTTCCCTAATCATGTGAAACATGATAGGTTTTAGGTCAAAATTGGGTGCTACAAGAGGGAGGATTACTCCCCTGTCTGATCTGTTCTTAAAAGGAGCAGCCAAGGTTCTGAAATTTTGTTCAGGAGGAATATCTTCATTATTGTTATGATCAGCCATGTTTTCACGAATTTCTTCCCTGAGGTTTCTTCTTCTTCTGTGAAGTGTACGTTCTGGTTCAGGATCAAAGAGAAACTCAGGTACTTCAATGGAGTGGTTAGAGACTATTTCAAACTCTTCACTCATAAACCATAAAAACAATTTATATATGTACAACAAATTTTATTTTTTTTGTCAACAAAAGAAAAAGAAATTAAAGTCATGTATACAGTGTATGTACTTAAAAACAGTGAATAAGAACAAAACTTAGTGTTTCTATCCCCGGCAACGGCGCCAAAAACTTGTTGGGTGATTTGCTGATGGTGGAAAATATAAGTTCTGATAGGGGACGTTCCTCTGTTCTTGCAGAAAACAGATTCGTTCCCTTTGTTCCAACCCAAGTGCGCAAGTGCACGCATCAAGTAATAAAGGGAGTATTAATGCCCAAATTATTGTTCCCACGAGGATAGAGTCCTAATTATTGTCTTACACTATTTTATAAAGAATGAAAATGAGAAGAAAAGTTAGTAAATGAACTGTCTGGTCAAACGTTCCCTACTGTCTTGACAACGTTTCTCAAGAACAGTAAGTTCAATCTGCTGGCAAACAATTACTCGCTGCGTTATGTATGTGATCCTTCCTGTTTAGAAGAAGGTGAGATAATAATCATTGGAGTTTTATAGATACAAGATTAAATAAAGGAAAGAAAACTTACTAAAACAGTAATAGCTATAGCCAAGAGACAACAGGGAGATGGTTTAAACAGTTTAACAGAAGGAATGGATTCACTGCTACACTCTTAAAGAGGTTGTTTCCTCTGCTCAAGACTTAGCACTTTTTGGCTTTGTCCCAGTTTCTTGTCTGCCAACTCTGATTCCTCAGCTCATGGACTAGATGGCTCACAAGTTTCCATATTCCTATGGCTCTCTTGACTCCAACAGGTACTTAGTACAGAACCTTAACATGGACGAGTTGGCCCCTTATTCCTAAGCTGACCAGTAGCGTTTTTGCCATGACATCTACCTTCCCCCAATGGCTAAGCTGTCTGAAATCCCTTCCTTTTGGAAGTTCCTTTCTCAGTATGTACCCAATTTCCATTGGCGCACAATGAATATAGCTTACTTAGCCAAAGAAATACAAAAAGCTTCAGTCAAGAGTTTTGAAAACAGTTCTTTAAGAGTTTCACAATTTTTCCATTCCACAGATAGTTCAGCTCATGGCTGATAGTTTAAACATAATTATTCTCAACTGAAATCACATAGACCCGAGATTCAGTCAAGAGATAACGATTGGAACGAAGAGAAAAATACTTATATTAATTTAAAAGACAGTTACAAAACGAAACAAAAAATGGAGAAAGATGGTTTAATGCTCGTGAGGAGTCTTAAGGTTTGATACAGAGCAAAGGGGATGGGTTGTCACTTGACTACAGTTACAACTTAAATAAAACTAAGTTACTGACTACTACTACTACTAGGTGATCTTCTTCCTTCTGGACTTTAATCCCTCCAGAATCCGATGATGTTTTTGTATGAGGGTGGTCTTATTTATAGATGGAAGAAGAGTGGCAAGCTTGTAAATTCTTTGGAGCAAGGTGCTTGAATGAGGGGACAGGACGGTGGCAGCAGAGTATGTAAGCTGCACAAATTGCTGGATGGAACAAGGTTTGGTGATGATTAGCCGTAGTATGCAGACTTGCCCATGCCTTGCTTTCGTTTTTAGCCAATGAGAACTCTTGATTCTCTGCTCTTCACGTTTTCAGCTGCTCAGTTGGTGCACCGCCTTGCTTTTTAGAAGTCTTTAACCCTACGTCACCTGCAAAGTGTACAGAGGCATTAAATGAATGGAGCAGGTGCATTAAATGCGTCTCAGTCTGTTCCCTTTTTAATATATTTTAAAGGAATACTTTACCAGACGTTCCCCCACTGTGTTTTTGTCACAAATGTGTAAAACAAGTGATTTTTATGCTGAAGTTGCTAATCAGCTGAGGGAACATGTGGTATTTTGCCATCAAAATGGGCTTAGAGGGGAACGAATTTACGTCCCATCATTGTGCATGGAGTGTGCATGTTTCAGGGAGTCAGATGTGTTTCTGATCTCGTTCCTGACAGCTTGTAAAGTAGGTGCAGAAGGTGCACCACTTATGCTTTTGATGCTGGCTTTAATGGTGTTGAGGAGCTGCTGCTTGTCTTCTTTCTGTTGCTCCTGAAATTTGATGAAGGAAGATGATAGTTGTTCCAATCTGTTCCTTAGAGCTTTCAGCACTTCAGTAGTGCTGGTCATGTCCAGCTGAGGAACGGATGGTGCTTCAGGTAGCAGCTTCTCATTTTTTTTCCCATCATTTCAAAAATCTCAGCAATCCCTATTTGAGATTTTCTCCTTGATGCAAGGGGGATTGCTGGGATGGGGGAGGCTGGCTTCTTTTTCTTCTTCTAGTTGTTGTTGCTGCCAGAAGATGGAGGTTCTTCAGGTGCTTGCCTGATCACAACCTCTTTTGTTTTGGAAGTAGAGGGGGCTGCTGTAGTTTGTTCCTCCTTCAGTGGAGGAACTTCCAAGCCCTCTTCTTCTGCTAAAGCCCTAGCAATGGCCTCGTCCCCAGAAGTATCGGGACAGATAATGGGACAAGAGAGGGGGTGAGGGATTCAACAAGAATCCCCTTTCCTTTGTCAAGTTTCCCCTTTCCTGGGCACAATTGGCTTTTTCTTTTTAAGGGATTCAAGAAGAATCCCCTTTCCTTTGTCAATTTTCTTTTGTGGCTGAGCCTCTTGCTCAACCACTTGCTCTTCTGCAGCAGGTGCTGTATCTGTTTCCTTAATTCCATCTCCTTGTTATTGCCTTGGAGAGGGTTGTTGTGTCCTTGGTCGTGGTGAAGAGTGAGCAGGTGATGGAGGAAGGGATGGAACGTCAGAAGACTCAGAAGTATAAGAGCTACTTGGGGATGTCTCCCTATCAGTTGATGAAGGTTTTGACATTCCTCCTTTCTTCAGCCTCTTGGAAATAGGCCCATTATCCTCACTGTCTTCCTCCTTCTCAGAGAGGATGATGGGTTTCTCAGAGGATGCTCCCTCTGTCCTTTTTGTGCTGCTGAAGGGTCTCTTCAGCCTCTGACTGGAACGTTCTTCCTTTCTTGGTGGTGCTTTGGCAGAAGATTTCTTCTTGCCCTGCTTGCTCTCAGTAGCAACAGGGGCTTCCTTCTTTACTTTGGTGGGAAGGGGAACGATTTTTCTTGCCTGGGTGTGGGAGGAAGTGGTTGCAGATTTTGAAGGTGTTGCCTTCATGGTTTTCTTCTTTGGGACTTCAGGGCCCTCTTCATCTTCAATGTCATCAACGTCACGTCTGACGTTGTAACCTTCAGGACATGGAATGTCTGTTTCTATGTAGGTTTTCCTCAGACCATTCCATGTCTTAAAATCAATGACAAACCCCAACATTTGGTCTTCATTGTCGAAAATCTTCACTCCAGCTCTCAAACAGAGCTTTGTAATCAAGCAGGGGAGACAGACAGTAGTTTTCCTGATCTCCTTATTCAGGCTGGCATAGATGAGAGGTACTACATCAATGGAAATATTTTTCATGATGCAGTAGAGTTGCACCTGTAGTGCCCACTTGACAGTGGCATCATGCGTTGAGGGGGTGAGGTTGGTGTTAGTAAATAGAGACCAATATCTAGCCTCGTCTTTTAAACTGCCCTTGGAGAGGGCTCCCTTGGCATAAACAGGGTCACCAATGGTGATCAAGTTCTTTACTTCCAGCACAAACTTTGGGACCTCTCTGCTCTCTATATACTCTTGGTAAGGGCAGTTGGAAACGGTTGGAAGATGGAGTACTTCCTTGATGGCTGCAGGGACAAATGATACTTTCTTCTCCCTCACAGTCACCACATCAGTCGTGTATCCTTCAGGTAGTCTTTTTGCATGATAAAAGAACTCAGCCACCAAGGCAGCGTTGAGTTCTCGTGCGTTTGTGGCAAACCAGGTCCACCTGGGTTTGGTCAAAGCTCTTTTCATGAAGGATGGAAGAGGAGCCTTGTCTTACAAGAATATGTTCCTCTCTGGGTAGAGAGATACAACTTCTTCAGTGATTTTTGGTGCTTGGCCACGGCTGGCCACAGGGGTAGCAGTTACTGAAAGTCTAGTCATGGTTATGGAAGAAGGAGAGGATAGGGCAAAATGCAGAGGAAGGTGTTAATAAGAGCAAAAGTTTCTAAGTTAACAGAGAATGGTAAGGCTATTAGGAGAAAAGAGATGAGTTTAAATAAGCATGCAGAGGAGGGAAAATGAGGATTTTTTCAGGACATGGAGGTTAAAGAGAGGAAGTTGAAGAGGTAGTGGAAGGGGAACATTACGAAACGGGTGGTCAGGGTTAATGGTATTCAACTGCTGCTGATGGTTGTAAGGAGGTGGAACGGTTTAGGTTAAAAACATGGGAGAGAGGGAAATAGGGTAGGAGCAGTTGCATTAATGGCTGAGGAGACAGTTGCTTTTTCAGGGCACGTTTTCAAAATCTGCAATGAGTGCAGATTTGATAACGGCTGCGCAAGGTTGCCTGACTTAACAGGGACAGGTATCCCTTTCGTTCTTATCTCCTAAGCCAGGGAATGTTCCCTTTGTCTTTTATAC